GGGCTGTCGGTTTCGCTTTCGCTGTTGTGCTTGTACTTGTTATCATCCTCTGGAGTGGCCTCTGTGAACTGCAGGTCTGTTTTCATTCGTTCCACTAGTTTGTGAACGAGTTGGACTGGGAAGTAGACATGCAGGTGGTGGATGGGGAGGTCCGGCTTGCCTAGGCTTTGATTCCGTCCAAAGGACATCACCACTGTCTGCATTAGTGCTAAGGTCCGGCCAGTGGCTTCGGTGTCTGGCGCCCCTCCCTCATCCTTTGCTCTTAGGACCGGGGCCCCATTTGCGTCCTCAATTTTGGATTCACAGGCCTTGGCGCAAAAGGACAGGAGACCGTAGAGCCAGTAGGCCGGTTCAGCATATAGCGACAGTCCTAGGCGGTCTGCATTTGTGTCAGTACACGCAGCTGGTTTGAGGAATGCAAAAAGCGACGCGAGCCGTCTGGCCAATTCCCCACCGATGTGATTAAAGTCATAGCAGATGCTTCTCATAACTTCGCGCGGTAGGTGCTGAAAGTTAACCCCGCGAAAATTGAGTTCAGCGGCTCGACGGTAGAGGGTAACCCTCAGCAACACCCCTATATGGCGCAGCTGCACACTGAGGCGCGCTAGGGGCCACTCTTGCGGCAAGTTAGCATACAGGCTGACTGGAGGCGCTGTGGGTGGCTCTGCAGTGCAGGGACTTGTTTGGGTCATGCGTTCGACTGACAGCATTTGGTCCCGAAGTACCACTTGCATCGCTCTCTGCTCTGCTAGATGGGTGATGTCAGCATCGACTGGTCCCGACTGGTCATCCGCCTCCTGGAGGTAGATTTCCTGAGTAGTGACTTCCTCCTTAGTTGATGTGCGTACGCCTGGGTCCTCAGTAGTTGCCCCTGGCATTTGTGGGTTTGCAGCACCAGTTGTGGGCGGCCTGGCCGCAGCGATGCTCAGCAGGCCTGTAGCAGGCATTGGCGGTGTGTGCAGCCGAGACTGGAGTGCATCGATTATACCTTGTTCCGGGGCCCTTTCCTGCGGTTCTGCAGGCGGTTTCACCGCTTTGGACTTGACTGCAAGGGGCCCATGCATCTTGGGCCGTGCAGCTGCTTGGGGGGCGGGATCCTCCATTGTTGTCCTGCTTTCCGGCTCCGCCGGGCTGGTGGGACTGCAAGAGGGTTTGCTGTCTGGGTCTACTCCGTGAGGAGGGGCTGCTGAGACGGTTGGCAAGCTTGATCCCCATCTATTTCGCCTCGTCTTCTCCTCTGCAGGGAGGTGAATGGGGCTGGTATTTGAAGGAGACGCAAGAGGGCGACCACACGGGTGACCACCTCTGCTCTTTTTACCATCCCTATCTCCTTTTTCAATCCGTGGTGCCGATGGCATGTGCTGGACTGGATGGTTGCCCCCTATAGTCATGTCACTGGGGTTGGTGACTTGCTTCGTGGTTTGTGCCTGACCCCCGAACACCTCTATTTTAGCTTGTGTTTCTGAGTTTTCAAAATCCAAATCACCTAAGGAGATGACCTACGTCACCGGGGGTGGTGACCTGCGTCACCGGGGGGTGACTTGAGGGGCAACCGCTCTACAAGTCCATATCGTTGCCTTCACGCGCTCCGATGCGCCTGTGAAGTTCTTGAACCATCTTTGAAACACTGCCTAAGTTGAAACTTTTGTTTCCCTTGGCAATGTCCGCAATGGTGGAATTCAAAGTGAGCTCGGCAGTTTCCAAAAATCAAGACAGGACACACAAGGAAACCAAGCGAATGAAGAAGGAAAATGTGGGATTGGAAATGATGCCCGATGCAAGCAACCCTACCTGTTCCAGTGAAAAGGCTGTTGCCAAACCAACATCCAAAACACCGAGAACTGGGGGCCAACTGGCCAACCTTATTACGTTATTTTGGCAGTGAACCAAGTAAAAACGTTGTTTGCTAGTCAGATGTCTCAAACATCATTCTGAACATAATTTCCAAAAGATAAACACCATTGGTGTTTTTGATGGAATCTCACCTTGAAAACACATGTCATGCCAACCCACAAGGTCATTGAGGTGATTTTCCCGAATGATTTTGCGTTGTTTTTGACATTCATATTCAATGATGCGCAGTTGCTTTGCTGCACGGAAATAATTGATGCATTTAAGAGCGTTGCCGACATGGCCATGGCACTGCAAATGAAGACGTTGTTGAATTTTTGAACAACCTTTGCAGACTGATTTCAGAGCCTTCTTGCTTTGTGTCAAAATGTGCAAGTTGCAATCTTCCATTTGCATGCTGCACGTTTTTTTTGTAGAAATCAATACTTGCCTTGGTGGACCTTGCAACGAATGAACTTGCCTGCTTCAAGTTGAACCAACTCGCAAACTTCATGTAAGATTGGCTAGGGAACATGAATCAACTAGCCACCCACGCACAAAATTATCCGAATTTAATCCAGTCGTTGATCTAACCTCATGAGTAGCTGAGTAGCAACCAAGTCTGTTGCAGAGCAATGAACAAGATTTCTAAGTGAAAACCAACCACTCACCAAAAAGGTTGCGGAGCAATGGCCTGGAAGTGCTTTAATGATCCCTTCGAAAGTGCACTTTGGATGCAACATATTCCGTGAATCAATCGGCAAGTTGCACCCAACAGACACGTTCACATGTAGTTACTGTTGAGGTTCTTGTGGTTCAGTTTTCCGTGGCGAGGCCTTTTTGTTGATTTTTGGGATTGTTTCCTATGATGAGTGCAGTCATGAACGCAGTATTCTTGCAGGTGCCGGGATTCTTCCAGAAGGAGCACCAGGTCGGTTCGTTGGAACAGCCTTTCTTGCAGCAGTTCCAACATTCCGTGAACAGTTGACACACATTACATTTGTTAAACATTGAGCAAGGCGAGTCCATCGAACGCCATAGAGATGAAGCCGCATAGAGTTGAAGATGTTTGAGAGAAGTACTGTTTCTTTGAAGTAGGTGAAACATGCTGTGCTGGCTGTGCGTGTGAGACTCAGTTGATTCTTTTTCCTACCAGTGTAACTTTGGTGCCAGGACGCATAGAACACAAGGTTCGCCCCTCCCACCAATCAGGGTTTAGGGTTTGCACCGCTATTCGCAAGGAAGTGCTGAGAACTTGATGAGTGTTGAAGGTAAACATTCAGAGTCTAATGTTACAATGTCTCTGTCATTGAATCGCCAAAACCGATGATAAAGCTTCAATTGTCTATATAAAGACAATCCTTTTTGGATTGTTATTTACAGGGAATTTGCTCTCTCAAAGTGCTTATGACATCTTTTTCAAAAAAAAGGAACAGTTCAAAAAGAGCCCTTGTGTCAGGTGTGACCTTGCACGGGTGAACGACATTGATGAGTTGATGCATGGCTTAGGCTCATAAGTTTTCTTTCTGGCAGACAATCAGTGTGAATCAGCAGTATTTTTTGGCACAAGTAAGCTGCTGGGCTGGACAGGCTACGACCGTTGTGTCGATGATGGCTCGTGCGAGCCATGCCGCAACCTCTAAGTGTGCCCTAGCAGTGTGGGTACCAGGAGAGCACTGCGCAAGCGGCGCGCCCCAGCGCGCAAAGGCAACGACCTAGAGATGACACTGCCTCCTTGTGGCAGTGGGCAACGTCAGAAGGCGCAGGGCCAACACTCCGGCCGTTTTGATCGTTTTTTTTTTGACCGAACTTTGCCGATGTCTTGAGAGGTGATTTGTACTCGTTGCCAAGGGGCATCATCTTACCTGCCTTATTGCCTTTCGGGATACAGGCAATCACCGCGATCTTCACAGCAATCATTCACCAGATTTCTTTCATAAAGGACTTTCTGGTCTTCCAACAACAGCTTCGCCAATATTTCCATTCAGAGCCCAAGCGCCTTGAATGCAGATGGAATACGAAAGCACGTTGTGAAGGGAAGAAACCGACACTTCCACTTGACACAGCACACTGATGCCAGGTGCTGGTCTCTTCTGGCGAAGCTGTGCAAGCCCCGAGGTGCCCCGAAGCTGGGAATTCTAGCGGGTTGCGCGGAGACGCGCGGAGCATGCCTGTCGCAGCTTCGGAAGATGAACCAAACGGCAAGAAAGCAATGGAAGAGCTGCAGCTATGGCAGGCACCAGCTGCGCCAAGTGGTCGCCAGTCAGGTTCTACATCCACTGCATCCAGCCCTCCACGTCTCTTTCATTTTGGCGGGGACGGAGATGAAGGGTCTTTGGAGGCCGACCATTTAGTTTTGACGACACGGACGTGTCTTTTTTGGGGTTCCCACCCAGTTCTGTGTTGTGCTTTCAACACTTCAACTCGTCTGGATTTGCACAGGTCCTGTACTTCTTGGTGGCAAATGCTCTGGTTCTAGCCATCTCAGCACATTCCTGGGTGGAGTTTGTTCGACCTTCGGAGAGGATTCCATTCGAGACGGAACTCTAAGGGCTTCTCTTTGCGTCGGCAGCAACGAAGAGAGTGGGACCTTGTCTCAGACAAATCAACCTTGTCAAAAGACATCCAACAACGTAAGCACTTTCGACTCTTGCTGTTTTTCTCAATGCTTGAGGAAAAGACCATGGAAGGTCTCTACACTTGCATCGAAGTTGGAGCCTCCTTTTCTTGATTTCGAGGACACTTTCAAGCTGAGTTTCTGTCAGGATGGTCTTCAAGCTGCAGGTGCGTCAAGATGGGCTGTTCGGTTCGGAGGATTTTTGGCGCTTTTCTCGCTGTTTGGCAGGTGGCTCTAAGACAGAGCCACGGCGGGACAAGAACAAGGTGCACATGTTTGGCCCCAGAGCTTTGGTGTTTGCCCTTCACCACTTCTGCCATAGGAAGATGATGCAAGGAAACCATCCGGGATAACATTGCATCACGGTTTTGCCCATTCGCTGACATTTTGGCTTTCTGCACGGTCACGGTCAGAGCTTGTAGTTCAAAAAACAAGTTGAACATATTGTCGGTTGCTCTTGAAACTATGGTCGTCTTAGAGTCATGAGTTAAACAAACAGTTACACTTTGCCTGCTAGAAGGTCCCGTCCAAATCCAACTTTTGCAAGTAGTCACAGTGCAAATACAAAAGCCAGAAGCGTCTAATTCGTTAAGTGCTGCTGCAGCCTTTGGTGCTTCTTGGCCTTTCTAAGCTTTCAGAGGTCTCGAAGGGATTTTTGTTCGTGGATGTTTCTTGATTCTGGGTGCTCAGGTCAATGGAACGAGTGAGGTCGTGGCTGTCTGTTGAACATGTACAGAAGACAGTCACCCACAACGTCACAGATCTCTCTATGGAGGATGCAATGCAGGAGAGGCATTCTCTGCATCCTCTCACTTTTCTTGTGTTGACCCGCACTCGCCTTGAGAGTAATCTTTCAATGGTAATCCCTTTTTCAGAGTGGAAACCGTGTCATCAAGCTTTGTAAGCCATTTGTGAGCTCATGCGGTTTCCACACTTCAGGACCCAGAATCCGCAATTTTTGACATCACAGCATCGCGGGATGCTGCGAGGCATCAAGCTCTTTGTAATGCAACACGTCGACCGTTTGAAACGCACCGCTGACGCTTTTGATGTTTTTGGTGAAAGCGTCAGCGGACGGAGAATGCCAGGCTCGGATTTCGCGGATCTTTGTTTCTTTGTACGCTACTGGCTTTCTCAGTCTCAGCATTATCCGTTGGACTGTTTCTCGGCCTGCAAGAGCGTTTCAACCCACACTTTGACGAAAACGGCAGACTTAAATGGGGACAGTTTGAACCGTGGGGGTATAGAAAATTGGTCAATCTGTTTTGTGAGCATTGAAAGACAATTACATAATTACCATTGTACTTGGAGGTCTCTACTTTGCCAAAGTTGATTGACACCCAGGTGGTCTGAGATGGGCTGTGGCGAACCGTGTTTGGGAAGCCCAATTTGAAGAGTGCGTTTTGCCGATGTTACCGTTTGTATTGCGTTTATTAAGGTCTTGCGAGGCACTGCCAGGCACTGTCTCTTCGCTTGCATTTACCTTACTGAGGTCTGATGTTTTTGCAGAGGCACAAGATGCTTGCGCTTCTTTGTGCTGGCATCTCTTTGTTCCTCAGCTGCACTGCTGAGCAGCGTATTTGTGCAGATTTGTGCATTCGTAACTCATTTTTTGTAGGCTTCTGCTTCTCGCCTTGTATTTGCTGGTGGCTTGGCTGAAGTCAGATAAGAGAAGCCACAGGTTGGTGGTGGTAGAGATAAAGAACTAGAACCGCTATGTGGGCTGGATTTTGCCTCAGAACTCTTCCGATCAATAATTACTGTCAAAGATGCAGTGTTTCTTTCTTTAACTAACCCGAGAGCAGCAGAATGTAAAATATCAACCATTATCAACCCCCAAACTGTGGTGCTGGAGAGCCAGAAACCACCGTGCTTTGCTGTGCTCGGGTGGTGGGCGGATTTAACGCAGTCGCTTGACACAGGATTTCTTCATGCCTCCTCATATGCCTGGCTCCACTCTCAGCTGGAGTGTTGGAACGATATTTTTCATACATATCACTAAAGATAACAAGTACATTGCGACGCTGAAGCGAAGTGAAAGTAGAGCTCACCGGCCTTCCGCTCCATTTCGCTTTGGATCAGGTGAGTATTGCTCTTTGTACCACGGTGACCGCTTGTTAGGACGAGGAGACCGGTCTCATTCATTCTGTTTCTGGACTTGGTGGATCCTTGGTGCATTTCTGTTTGAAGGCATTCTTGCCTTTGCACTTGTTGGGCTTCTGGGTGCTGCATTTTTCTTGGCTGACACCTTCCCAACAGCCACTTGGTCTCTACGTCCCTGTGTGCTGAATGGACGAGTGCACCCAACTGCACCAAGGCTCCTCTAGTGTTGCTTGTCTGCACCAATGAGCCGGTCAAGTCTGCAATATGCCTCAGTCGCCAAGGCTGACGATCTTCCTTTCGCCGACCCTCCTCATAGGGGTGCGGCAGGCAGAGGATTAGCTTTGAACCCCATAGTTCTGAGCTTCCTGAGTCTTGCAGCCACCCCTTTGTATCCCACATTTGCAATTGGGCTTTTCATAGGCAACAAAGCCCAAGCCTCGCTTTGTGTTGGGAACTGGCTCAAAGGACGCAAGCTTGCAGGACGGCTGGCAGAGAAGTTTACTTTGCGCCAGATTGCAAACAGTCATTTACTTCTAGGCCGTAGGCTGAGGTAGCTACTGTGAAATGGATGCGGTACCCTCCAATTGAGCCTTCCGCCTTTTGAGCTTTTGCCACTCGTCGCATGGGCCCGAGATGGCCATTTGAGCCTTTCCTTTTCACTTGTTTCATGCACCGCCCTTGGCCATGGAAAAGATCGATCGAGCGGTTTGCTGAGATGCTTTTTTACCCCTTTTGAGCTGCAGCGTGCATTTGCAAGCACTGCTGCGAGTTGGTGGCGCGGAGCCTTGCGCCCTTTGCTTCACTGCTCGGCATGTCCCAGGAGACCTCGTACGATTGGCAATGGGATGACCCTGAAGATGACTACGGCTTCCCTTTTGCCCACGACGATGAGGCCGCTTCTGAAGAGACGCCGGGCGACCTTGAATTTGACCCGGTCTATGATGACCACCCTTGGCAGTGGACGCCCCGGACAACGAGCTTTGACCAGGACACGAGCAATAGCTCTATGCCCGAACTCCAACGACCTGACGGCTCTGTGCATGTTCCCCTTTGGTTGTGTAGGAATTGCCACAGCACACAATGGAGAACGCATGGAGAGGGCTATGTTTGTTTGGATTGTGGTTGCCCGAACTTCTACGATGCCAACCTTCCTCATAGCCATGATACAGGCTTGGGTTCGTGGACATATACTCCACATGCTCCCCAAGGCGAGACACGCCATGACGATCCACGACCTGTTGGACATGAAGCCCGAGAGACCGCTGAATCAGAAGTTCCCACTGATGACCCGAGCGTTGATCCCTCAACGTTGCAACCTGTGACAAGGCCTTCACGAAGGCAGAGGAAAGCTCGGAAGCAAGCAGCTGGACGAGACTCTGATTCACATGTCCCTCAACAACCTGCGCACACTCCACTTAGAGCCCCTGTTTTACCAGGTCTTTCTCCTAAGGTACCACGAGATGATCCTCCCCCGAGCCAAGAACAAGCTGCTCAAACTATGCCCATGACCGGCGAGTCCAAAGCCGGCAAAGGAGCTGACGCTGGCAAGTCCAAAGCCGGCAAAGATGTTGATGCTGGCAAGTCCAAAGCCGGCAAAGGGAAAGGTGACGGCATGCTCAAAGCCGGATCCGACCATGGAAGCTCGAAGAATGCTGGCTGGCACGACGAGATGTTGAAGTCCATGCACGGCATCCACAACAAGTCCCAACAAGAAAAGCCTTGGGATATCACCAAAGGACCTGGACCAGGTCTGAAGTATCGCGGTGGCTCACCTCCTTTGCCACCGGCGTGGGATGCTCAGAAAGGCGACCTTCAAGCCTTTCAGCGCTGGGAGAGGAAGCTTGCTTTGTGGCGCCGCCAGATTCGAAGCTATTTGCCCCCGAATGAGGCCTCCATGTACCTCTTCGTGAACCTCGGCGGCGAAGCCGCCGAAGAACTCGAGCATTGCGACCTCGACAAGGTCGATGATCCCCAGGGCATCGAGTACGTCCTCGAGACGCTCAGAGCTCCTTTGATGGTGAAAGGCATATACCTCAAGAGAAAGCTCCTGGACGACTTCGAACGCCTCTCACGGCGTGCCAACGAGAGCATTCGCTCCTTCACGAACCGCTACCATCGCTGCGAACGCAGCCTAGCAGCTGTTGGAGTACATGTCAACCACATGTACGATGAAGAGGCCGCCGGCTCCAGACTCTTGGATCGAATGCGCTTGAGCGCTGAAGCCCAAAGGATGATCCTTGTTGCTACATCCAACTCCATCCGCTACCAGGATGTGAAAGAGGCGGCCGAGACACAGTTCCCTGAGCATCGTGCAGTTCCTGCTGTGGTCTACACCCGGGACTTTGAGACCCACACCAAAGCGCCTAGAGAGCGGACTGACCAACCTGTCCGTGATCAAGGCAAGGCAAAGGGCAAAGGCAAGCATAAAGGCAAGAGCTCCAGCAAGTCGAGCTCTTCCAACACCTTTGTTCGCTCCTCCTATCTCACTGAGGTTCCCAAGGGTGACCAAGCTGACGATGAGCAGGGCGCGATGGAAGAGACGCGTGAAGATGAAGGCGAACAACCGCCTGATGAGCTTGAAGCTGAAACTCACGACCTCGATGGTGAGGATGAAGCAGAGGCCGACGCCGACATGTCGGACCTCGATTTGGCAGCTCACTGCCTGACGGTGACAGCCCGTCGACTTTCAGGCATGCGCCTTGGCAGGAAGTTTTCTGGTGGTGGCAAAAGCATTGCTCAACGCAAAGCCGAAAGCCACTGTGCCGTTTGTGGTCAAAAAGGCCATTGGCAAGGTGACAAAGAGTGCCCTCAGTCCGGTGCTCCTTCAGGTGATGGCAAGCCCAAAATGGGCAAAGATGATTCCAAGACCAAGGGGTCTGGGAAAAAGGTGCTTTTGACAGTCGCTCATCCCGATGGATGCAATCGTTCGGTGACCTTCAACACTGACACCAACGACAAGATGGAATCCCCTATGGCACCTACTTTACCTATGTGGTCACTTCATCACCAACGATGCCTCCATCGAGACCCTTGGGATCGGGATTGCGCCAGGTTTTTGGTGCTAACATCACCATGTTCAACCACCACCTGATCCTCGATACTGCATGCCAGAAGACGTGCTGCAGCAACACGTGGTTGGAACTTTGGTCACAACATGTCAACCAGTTCCGCTTCCGCTCGAAGACCTCGCCGAGTCGTGAGCCGTTCGAGTTTGGTCATGGCCCTACTCAGTTTAGCTCACTTCATGCACTACTACCGTGTTGTTTTGATGCCACGGAATCTTCATGCTGTTTGTTGGGCACCTCCGTTCGTACGACCTCCAACGACATCCCATTGCTTGGAAGCAACACCCTCTTGAAGGACAAGTTGAAAGCTGTTTTGGATTTGCCCAACCAATGCGCCTTTTTGAGTGAGTTTGATTGCACCGTCCCCATTTGTTTGTTGAATGGCCACCTGGCGTTTGACATTGCCATGTTCACCAAGTCCTCCCACCGTTTTTCTGTTTGGAAGCAGCTGTCCACGAAGGTTGACTCCGATAGCTTTGATTCTGAGTTTGTTTTCGCAGCCGCTGCAAGTGCTCACACCCATCGTGTACAAGATGCCCCAAAGACCTCCGGCCTGGCTTCAAGCATGGCGGAATCTGGTGAGGACCCTCCTTCACGCGGAGATCCTCTTGGGAAGAGTGATGAGCCAGGCGGTTCGACTCCGAATTCGACCTCGAGAATGGCTGGCCCATCAAGATCCACTGCTCATGGCTGTGAAGGAGAAGCTCTACACGAGAGCGATGGGACCATGCCCTCACGACAAGATCACCCGCTACTGCAACCGCCACGGTCGCTACATCAGGTGCGAGGACTGCAACAAGAAGTGGAAATGGGACGATGCCGCGCAAAAGTGGCTAGAACCGGCAGTTCGAGGCTCGCGGCATCCAGCACCAAGTATTCAGGTGCCTTTGGAGACCATCTGCAGTGCGACATCATCTACATCCGCCTCTTGACTGGCGAGGCGATCCCGACCATCGGCATCGTTTGCATGTCGACCAACTACCACGCAGCCAAAACCCTCCGGGACCGATCTCCGGAACACGTGCTTGACGTCATGCACGAGATCTGGTACCGACCATTTGGTCTTCCACTGTCCATCACATTGGACTCCGATGGCGCATACCTTGCCGCCAGCCAAGCATGGCACCAGCGCCTTGGCATTGAACACAATGTCATACCAGCCGAAGAATCATGGCTGCTGGGGAAGATTGGCAGGCGCAATGCGCTTATGCGCGCCGTGGCTGAACGCCTGATAGACCAGAATGGCACCGTCACCAGACACGACCTTGACCACATCCTCACGGCCGTGCTGAACAGCGTGAACACATCGACCTACACGTACGGTCGCTCCCCATGCCAAGCAGTGTTCGGCAGAGTGCCAATTCCCATCCTGTCTGACCAGACGGCGCTATCCATATCGCCACAACTTCATCCAGAACAACAAAGCCTCCAGCCAGAACTACTACGAGCTGAAGCACTGACCGCCTTGGCACAGTTTTCAGCATCCCAGGCCGTCCGCCGTGCACTCCTCCGGAAAACCCGGAATCAAGGCGATCCAACCAGCCTTGAACCAGGCCAGACCATCGCCTATTGGCGACAACAGGGACGATCCCGCCAGCGCAAGAGAGGCGCCTGGAACCTCGCCCGCTTCTTAGCCTTGGATCCTGACCGCAAGTCAGCCTGGGTCCAAGTGGGAAAACATTCCCTGAAGATCGGTGTCACCCAGATCCGACCAGCAGCAGGATGGAAGAACTGAGTCCCCAGGAGGATCTTGAAACGATCCGCCAAGCCGAGCACAGCATCTCCGACAACCTCTGGCTTGATGACACCGGCGAGGCACCACCAGACGCCACCATGTTACACGAGGACGAGATCTTCCAGTTCCGTCCAACCAAACAACCACGGCTCGAACACCATGAGCCGACGGCAGAACATGCACCAGAGCACGAAGCAGCTACTTTTCCCACAGTCCAGCCACTGACTGAACCCTACACACTTGCAACACTACCATCACCGGTAGCCCATGGCCAGGGCGCAACACAAGCATCTGCAGCGGCAGCTTCTACGGAGACAAACATCCAGCAGCAGCAGCAGATGAACTGGCAGCAGAACACATCTCAGCAGACGGTGAATGTCCACCAAGACCGCCGAAAGATCACGGTCAACGTCGACTCCCCGACATACCAAAGGTATGGTCCTGAGCCGACATTTGGACCTACACCGCCAACACCGAGATCCATCCGAGGACGCTCACGAGCAGCGCCCGGAACACCTCTTGCTCCCTACGACACTGCGGGGCAAGAACAAAGACCAGTGCCGACCACCCCGGCACTGGAACAAGACACCACCAGCAGGCGACACAGCCGACGCACAACTGGCTGAACCACCAGCTGAACCAGCATCAACCATTGAGGCACCAGCCAACATGACGTACCACGTCAACTGGGACAACTACCTCGACATCTACGACGACAACACAGCCACACTTCGGGCCCCTCACTGGGACGGCAGCCCCGAATACCAAAGCCCACAGCAGCCCTGCAGGCAGTTCTACAAGGCATACCTCAGCAGCAGCAAGCGCAAGCAAGAACTAGCGCAGCAGGACATCACAGACAAGCCGCAGCAATCGGACAGCGAGAGCTCTGATGACCAGTTGACCAAGTCAAACCAGCGACAGCTGACACGCCAAGAACTCAAGCAGCTCGACCGTGAGCTCCCCTGGCGTGAGATCATGGCCATGCCTTGGCACGTGGTCGAAAAGTTCATCAACTCCGCTCTCACGGAGTACCAAGGATGGATGAACTGGTCATCGATAAGGCCTCTGACCCGAGACGAAGTCATGCAGGTGATGAACGACCCTGCCTTGAAGCGCCGCATACTGAAGTCACGGGCGGCCTACAAGGACAAGTCCAAGGGCATCGGTGAGCTCAAGGCAAAGTCTTGATCGGATGCCAAGATCCGGACCTGCGGCAGTTGACCAGAGACTCGCCAACACCCACTCGATTGTCCGAAGCCATCATCATGGCAATTGCCGCAAGTGGCGCCAACCGCCTGTTCCAAGGAGATGGGCGACTATGGTTGCTGTGGCTGTCAGATGCCGAGAAGGCATTCCTCCAAGGAGAACAAGATTCAACTGAACGGCACGATCTGCCGCTGTTCATGGAGCCACCTTCCCCATCACCCAGGCCTCTGGTGGCTTCTCCGCTCCGTTGTACCAGGTCACTGGCAATTGCTACGGCCTCAGCAACGCCCCAAGAGTATGGCACAAGAAAGTTGACCGCACGGTCAAGGGCGCCTCCTTCCAGCAGCACTCCTTTGACAGGTGCTTCTAATTGTGCACGTTGATGACTGCATGGCAGTCTACTCCGAGACCTTCGATCTCGACACCCTCAAGAACCTCTTCTCTTGGGGAAGCACCACCCTCATCACCACGTCCACTCCGGGCGAGTACCGTGGCAAAGAAATCTCCCTCCATGAGGAGAATGGCAAGTTCTACTACAAGGTCACTCAGCGTGGCTTCATCGAGATCATGCACACAGCCAAACTGCCAAAAGGACGCCTGAGTGGTGACCCAGGCCTCACGGCCGCTGAGATCAAAGAGTACCGCAGCGTGTGCGGCTGTCTGCAATGGTTGGGAGGGCAAACACGCCCAGATGTTTGCGCCGCTACCTCACTGACACACCGAGGCGGAGCAGCCCAGATCCAGGACCTTCAGAAGCTCTACGACGTGATGGAGCATGTGCGCAGCACCAAGGAGCAAGGCCTGACCTTTTTGGGCATCCCGCTCAACCTAGCTTCGGTGATAGTCACGTTCACCGATTCCAGCTGGGCCAACGCTGACAAGCACAAGTCGCAGTTTGGTGTGCTGGTGACACTTTGTCCACCACAGGTGACGCAGGTCACCTGCAATGCAGTCCTTCTCGACTGGAAGAGCGGACGCTCACCACGCGTCTGTCGTTCGACGCTTGCAGCTGAAGCCTGTGCGGCCGACGAAGGAGGAGATAGAGCAGCATTCATAAACTTCTTCCTCACGGAGTTGCTGCATGGCACCAAGGCCTACAAGGGCAAAGCAATGCTCTCCTCCATGCTCTGCGTTGACGCCAAGAGCCTCTACGACTGCTTGGTTCAGGAGAACCCCTCGGTCACCGAGAAGCGGCTGATGGTGGAGCTGCGTAGTGTCCAGCAGGTTTTCGAACCAAGAAGTGTTCGATGGGTGCCGACGCACCTGATGCACAGTGACGGTCTCACTAAGGTTGATGATGGCCTCATGCTGGCCTTGTTGAAATGGTGTCAAGCACCATGGGCACAGCTTGTTGAGGAGCAGCAAAAGCTGAAGAACAAAGACCAGTGTGAAATGGATGCGGCACCCTCCAATTGAGCCTTCCGCCTTTTGAGCTTTTGCTACTCGTCGCATGGGCCCGAGATGGCCATTTGAGCCTTTCCTTTTCACTTGTTTCATGCACCGCCCTTGGCCATGGAAAAGATCGATCGAGCGGTTTGCTGAGATGTTTTTTTACCCGTTTTGAGCTGCAGCGTGCATTTGCAAGCACTGCTGCGAGGGCTACTAGAAGCTAGTAGCTCGGCAGCTTCCTTGAAGAAGCGCTCGCACTATTAAGTAAGAGCCAGATTGCAAGCAGTCATGTTCTAGTGATATGTCAATGACCGACGCAGGAGCGCTTACGAATGTTAAAAATGGTCACTGGCGAAGAGAAGGCTCGCTACATGTAAAAGTTGCGCCTGACTGTCATCGGAATGCTTGCGTTGAATTTTGACATGGTTCAAAGAGAGCACTACCACTTATATATATATATATAAGCGCTCACTGATCCCCCTTCTCCGCAAGGAACAATGTTGCTTCTACAAAGCAGCAACCTTTGGATTCCTGCTGACAGCTTTCACTTGCATAGCTCTCTGGATTCCCTGGGCAGCAACGACACAGGCGGGGACCACTGGACGAGGAACCTCTCGGCGACGACCACGGCAGGGTCTCCGTCGGCAGGTCCAATTGACCGAAGGCATGGATGCCACGGAACGAGAGATCAGCTTCGTTCGCTGGTCCACGCCTTTGATTGCCGGGAGCCTCTATCTCTGAGAGTCGAACGGTTTGTTTTCTTGGCTCTTCTTCCATGTGGAAACCGTTGGGCGCAAGCAGGTGGGAATTTCCAACATCATTTTCGCGAGCTTTACAGGCTTGCGAGTTGCCTTAGACCAGGCAGAGAGGGAAGAAACCCATCGGAAACGCGGTTGAAAGTTGTGGCATGAAGGGCTTGATTCATGATTCATGATATACAGATATACATCAGAAGGAGTGTCTTAAACTGGCAGAGATCCTTGGTGGAAGCCAACGTGGCAAGCCATTCCCATGTCTTTTTGTGGTTCTAAAGTCAGACAGGTGGGATCATTAGATACCTTTTTGCGCTGACTGCTCCCGAAATGGCGTCAGGCATATGCTGGAACAGACGACAATCGAGCTCAAATTATTCTAAGTTCCCGAAGCCACATGCTGCTTGTTCGCAGGTTGCTAGCTGGGTCATGTGTGAGACTCTTTTGCAGTCATGTCTTTAATGCCAGCGGAGCTTCTCAGTCACAGAGTCCAAGCCCATCTCAAGACGAGTGGACCTTCCTACGTGGGGCACGTGTTGGGAAAGTGCTGGGAAAGACATGTGGAACGATTTCGTGTTCTCATCTTCCCCCCAATCTTTCCCTCAAGAAAAGCGAACACATCCTCTCATTAAGGTGGGAAAGGTAGTTGTGGCTCATCTTGTTTTCCCCCAAAAAGAAGAGAAGGAGCTGAAGGACTCGCTCCGGTGGTGACTCATTCGAAAGGAGCTGCGCTCGTTCTTCTTCGCTGGTTTCTTCGCGGCCAACGCGGTACCTGAGGAACCGAGAGCTGATGGATCACCGCATTGCACAACTCAGAGCTCGACTGGCAGCTGAAACTCCCGGCTCCCAAGTGCAGAAGACGCGCGACCGAGCGCAGCAGCCGCTTGGGCGGCAGGGACAGCTCTTTGAACCAAAAGCACTAGGGACTAGGGACTAGGGACAGGTAGACAAGCTGGTCGTTGCAGCTGAGGTGGTTTTGTAGTTCTTTCCCGCAGTCTTATGTTTTCCAATCAGGGCAAAAGATTTGCAGGATCTATGTGAGTGGACCGCTGGACCATGTACTTCCACGGATTCTCCAAACTATGACAAAGAGATCTCAAATGATGCATGAGCTGAGTTCCGTCCATTTTCCTCGATGAGGTACTTAATACAGCACACTGCCCACATGCGCCAACTCTCCAACATTGTCAAGACTGTTGGCTGGAGCCTTTGTGCTGAAGTGTCTTTTTTTTTGCAGATTGCTCAGGGTTCTCAGCAGAAACGAACCTCCTTGCAGGGTGCGGCTTCATTGCCCTTCTGGGAGCCTTGTACATTGCTTTTCAGCTGACAGCGGCGGACAGTCACATTGCTGATGCTTGTCTTTCGAGTATTGGTCAGGCTGAGCGAATTACTGATGCAGAACAAAGGAACTGAGGACACTTGGATTGTTAAATCAGTTGATCACAAAACTAAGGACATGGTGCAGTGCTTCTTGGGTGCCTTCTTCCTGACCTTTGTAGCCTTTATCTTTGTGTCATTCAATCGATTGTGGCAGGCTATGTCTACCTGGCTACAGGAGCGACGCCGAGTTGTGGCACTTAAGAACTTGCAGAACTAACATAGTACACCAGATTTATATTGCATTGCATGCATACTTGGGACCACCAAAACCTGATTGCGTGTGCTACATGCTACTGTGAAGGCAAAGCAGTTTGGATCAGTTCGTTTGCATTAGCAATCTTGACCGGCTGTCTTGCTCAATCTTGCAGCGACCGGCTGTCTTGCTCTAGCTGTCTTGGCCATATTGAACCATTTTAGTCCTCAGATTGAAACACCAAGACACATTCTAAACAATCTATATAAACATTCTAAACTCGATGCTAACTTGGGGCTATCAGACGCCATCTTGACTGATTTTGGTGGCTATCTTGGAGCTATTTTTGGCTTCGGCTATCTTGCGGGCTGAATTTGGGCCGATATGACTAAGGGAGCCATTTTAGACACCAACCCGACATTTGATAGTAAAACCTACAACAATTCACGATTCTAGCAAGAATCAGAGGTGCCAGGACAGAAATGGGGCTAGTAAAGTCGTTTTTCTATTCTTTTTCGACTCACACAAACGCCCGCGGACCCGCGGACTGTTGCACGGGATTTGTCTTCAAAGTGCGCAGGATTTGCCGCTGTGGAAATCTGCTGTTGGTCTTTGTTCATCCACATGGGCACGTGCTGCTCTTCTTTGCCTGGCTCAGGGCCAAGTATTTGCATCGATACATCCTTTGACTATAGGAGTCAAAAGTGCGCGTTTGAAAGACATCGAATTCTTTGATTACACCGCCCATGTCGTTATTGGAAGCTGAGGTGATGCCGTTGGTTCCTTTGATGGTCCTCCTCTCTTCCTTGAACCAGGTTGGACGAACCGGTGTTGGTGCAGCAGCACAGCACTTCCAAAGACTTGGTCACAGGCGGTTCGCTGTGCCCGTGGCTTTAAAGACCGAAGATGCCTCACTGAGCGGGTGCACACCACGTTTGCGCAAGCAGCACAATGGGAGTGGGTGTCATTGGCCTCCTGGGTTTGGAACTCGATGCACAGTGGTGCAAAGCGGATTCTATCCAATTCCACCTGAAGTCTTTTGCGGTCCCTTTTGCATAGGTTTCAAATTGAAAAGTTTCTGAGACAAGGCCTACATTATGGCTACCATCATGATGTTGTACAAGGCGAGAAGCCAGAACCGGGCAGAGACCTTTTGGGTCGCCTGTGGAGTTGCAGGGAACCCCTACGCGTGAACTTCGATCACTCCGGGAAGCTTCGGGCTGCTTCCGGCTGCAGGTCATTCCTCTCTTCATCAATGTGTTGCTGGCCTGGCTGAATTCGGTCGTCGCGCACTTGCCCTTTGCGGGTATTTTGGGCTTCACCTTTGGCGCTGGAATGGCCACTGGTCTGAGAGGTGGTCAAAAGCGTACCTCAAGGGGATCCTGGCTGTTTGAGAATTCATGGATCGAATCGTCGGCTGAGAATTGAGGTCTTGTTCATGTTGCCCCCGGTGCCGGGACCACCCATCTACCTCTTTGGCGGCCTGGTGATCTCAGAGCATTGTCCCTATGGCTTTTGGCGGCTTAGTTGAAGAACAGTTTTCATCGACATGTCAAGGGATTTGTGCTGATGGCTGGTGACTTCTGGGTTTTGCCAGACTCGCTAGACTCGCAAAAGTAGTCGTGTGTCAAACAACCATGCTGTTTGCTGAACACGGTGCCATAGGACGAAACTGTGAGAGAGCATGACCTGACCATGGACAAAAATGTATCACTTGTGCACCATTTACCGCTAACAACCAGGTGTATGCAAAACAGACATATATATGTATATACTCGGAAAATGCATACAGAGTTGAATGCCTCATGCCACACGCCCAGCTAGGTATGATTGCCTCAGGATACAGAAGACAAGGTATGTAAAGCAGTCTGAACATGAGAACCTTCCAAGAAACTCAAAGGTTCACGAAGAGTGAAAAACCGAGAGTCGACCAGCAAGTTCTGAGCGACGAGTGCACTGGAAACAGCACCGTACTGGCTGCCGGTCAGCCATGTGGCACCACGGTGTGCCGCACAAGTACTGAGGTGGGGCTGCGTAATTTGCATTATTTTATGTGCCTTGGAGATGTCTGGAGTCTGGGTTCCCATAGATGGCCTAACCTACGGCCTAAGCTGGGCCTTGGTGGGTTGATTAATAGACAAACCCAGGGCCCGCTGGCTACCCGAACCTTATGCTGATGCTGATAGAGAAAGTGGTCAGGCAGATCAGTTTGACATCAACAATCATAGACATCTAGTCAACTTGGCCCAACAAAGGACTTCATCAGCATGTGTCAACCACCTCGTCACCGAAATCCTTGATTCACATTCCCGGCCTTTATCGAAATGCTAGGTTTTCCTCACCCTCTTGCCAACTATGTTCCTGTTCCTGCCCTGTTATGTTTATTTGCTCGTCCCCCCTCCCGATGATTCATATGGAATACCGTAAGTTTCAACTCGTTCTGCAAACCAGTTCGGAAAAACACGGAAAGCGGAGCAGCAGCCCCACATCCCTAACAGAGCCCACAACATGTCTTGTGAACAATGGGTGAAAATTGCCAAAATGATAAAGGAGATGCCTCAGGATAGCCGCAGACTCACAGCAAAAGACCACCATGGCCTAAAAAGTAACTTACTTATACTTGTCGCACCTAAGTCAGTCATGGGCTTTAACGCAAAAAAGTAACGTAACAGCAGCAAAGCCTGCAACATAGATCCCACGGCCCCAATCACCTCCAACATACCCCCACGAGAAGCCGCAAGAGAGCCCCAACATTCGGCGAAACGTGCCAACGTGGAGAAGGATATACCCTAAGAATGCACCAAGATCGCCGAAGATCGGCACAAACATGCCCAAATTTGACTTCCCATTGCAGCAAGCTTTCGTAAGCAACAAAAACGACAACCAAAGCTGTCCAAACCACCTGTCTTGCACTTGTCGGACCTAATTTTTTCATGGTTTTTTACGGTGTTTACGCAAACTACTCAAAAGACCACATGCCCAAGTCAAACGGCAAAGAAAGAGCAGCCAAGTGGACCAACATGACCGCAAAGCAAAGCCTTCAACATAGCCCTGATCTAGACCCCACGGCCCCAATCACTTCCAACATACCTGCACGAGAAGCCTCAAGAGAGCCCCTACATTGGGTGAAATGCGAAGGATATGCCCTAAGAATGCGCCAAGATCGCCGAAGATTGGCACAAACATGCACCAAATTTGACCGCCCATTGGAGCCAGCTTTCGTAAGCAACAAAAACGACAAACAAAACTGTCAAAATCACCTGTCTTACACTTGTGAAATTAATTTTTTCATGGTTTTTTACGGTGTTTTACGCACACTACTAAAAAGACTACATGCCCAAGGCAAACGGCAAAGAAAAAGCAGCCAAGTGGACCAACATGACCGCAAAGCAAAGCCTTCAACATAGCCCTGATCTAGACCCCACGGCCCCAATCACTTCCAACATACCTCCACGAGAAGCCTCAAGAGAGCCGCTACATTGGGTGAAATGCGAAGGATATGCTCTAAGAATGCGCCAAGATCGCCAAAGATTTGCACAAACATGCTCTAAATTTGACCACCCACTGGAGCAAGCTTTCATAAGCAACACCAAGCTCTCAAAAACACCTTCCCTACACTTGTCCAAATGTTCGCGATACTGGTTATGCCGCCTGGGGAAAACTGCTTTATTGACATCGTGGGTGTGTTCGTCCGGAGCAAGCTTTCATACGCAAAAAAGAGACAAAAAGAAGCGCTCAAAAACACCTTCCTTACACTTGTCGGACCTCAATTTTTTAAATGGTTTTTACCAGTGTTTTATGCACATTGCTCGTCAAAGCCTTTGAATGCCGGATAACAAGATAAACCTCACAAATTGTCTCCCGTGCAGGTAAAATGCAACTTTTTGAAGGCAAATAAGCTCAACACAAACCCACCCAAAGCCACATTTTACTGTAAATTCTAGTGTTTTATGCACCTTCGAACATGCAAAAAAAAGCACCCACGGTCTGCAAACCAGTCCGGCAAGCAACGGAAAGCGAGAAGCGAGCGGGCGCGATCACGACGTGCAGGTTTTGTTCCATGCCGGACAGCGGTCTTTGCCAAGTGACGATTCGGCAAATCATTGTTGCAACGTCCAAAGCCAGCACTGTTCCACGGATTTCGACGGACTTCGAAAGCGTGGTTTCATACTTTTAGGGTCGCCGTGTCAATTTTCCCAGGTGCTTTCCATTCTGTTCAAAAGGGTTT